TAATGATTTACAGATATATGTATACAGTAGAAGAATATTTAAATAGCAACATAATGAACATTTTTGCACAATTTGTTTTCATTTATTGTATATCTTTGGAAGCATATTTCTGAATGAAATTACCTGAGCAAATTGTTATAGTATGTTCTGGAAATGAACATTGCCAGTAACAATTTACACGGTGACCTGTTTCCTAACAAGCAGTTGTCTTTATTATATACATGACTACCAAGTTGGGGAAAGCTTTGTGTTTTAATTTGTATTTGGCTGAAGTCGTATGTTTTGTTATGTAATTATATACTCAGTGTGTTTTCTACTGTGCATGTTATTCATTCTCTTTGACCATGAGAACTTAACAAGTAAGCTTCACACATTGATCTTATACATTTTATTATTTATTTGTTTTGACTAGTGTGTTTTATTAGGCTGGTGCAAAACTAATTGCAGTTTTTGCCATCACTTTTATGGCAAGAACTGCAATTATTTTTGCACCAGCATAATAAAAGTTCTGCTCACTGCATATTTTCCCTTTTGATTATTTCTTTTTTTTTGATCTTCATTTTACTATAGTACAGCTTGCAAAAGACTTTTATTCATGTATTTGAACCCACCATCCTAGTTCTGACCACATCATTCTGGCTTCGATGACACCTCATTTTTTCAATGGCCACAATAGCTAGAGAGACAATTATACACGCTACATATCCAGCTTCACCTTTCCTACTAATTTTCCCAATAACATTTATTTGTTTTTGCTCTCTTTATGTGTGTGTTTTAGTCTACTAGAAAAGTTTTTTTTTATGAGTTTGGCTATTTTTCTCTAAAATATACTATTTCCTTGATCAATCTTTGTTTTTGACCCAATGCCAAACAGTCTTAGTATATGTGTGGCTTTGTAATAAAGTTTAAAATCTGAGAGGCTATCTACCATCATTACATAAAATAATATACTTTGGCATCTTTGTCTTTTTATTCTTCCAGGTGAATTTCACTATAAATTTGTCAAGATCTGTAAGGTATCCTGTAGAATTTTTAGATTGCATTAAGTCTGTACATTAACTAAATAGTATTGTCTTTCTCACAGTTTTAGCTTTGCCCAGCTGGAGTACTGTGTGTCCATTTATTCATATCTTTCTTTATTTCTCCAATTATGATTTTAGCATCTGAATACATTTCTTTTGTCACTGTAAAATTTTTCAAAGTACTCTTAAATTGATAATCTCATTCAGTGCTTGCCAGATCTCTGCTGTAAGTCAGTAGAAAGATTAGATGTATCCAAGGATGACTGATCTGTAATGAAGCTTTGTTCCCCCAATGTTCATCGTGACTCTTTTTTAGTAACAGCTGTATGGAGATACAATTTAAATACCATACAATTCACACATCCAAAGTATGCAGTTCAGGCCAGGCATGGTGGTTCAACCCTGTAATCCTAGCACTTTGGTAGGCCGAGGTGGGTGTATCACTTGAGATCAGGAGTTTGAGATCAGCCTGGTCAACTTGGTGAAACTCCATCTCTACTAAAAAAAAAATACAAAAATTGTTGGCATAGTGGTGGGCACCTGTAATCCCAGCTACTTAGGAGGCTGAGGCAGGAGAATCATTTGAACCCAAGAGGCAGAGGTTGCAGTGAGCTGAGAACACGCCACTGCACTCTAGCCTGGCAACAGAGTGAGACTCCATCTCAAAAAAACAATAGTATGTAATTCAATAGTTTTTGGTATATTCAGTGGTGTGTAACCATCATAATCAATTTTAGAACATTTTCATCACCTGAAAAAGATATTCCATGCCACCCATTCCTGTACCACTCTTCAAGACCCTGGTAACCACTAATCTGCTTTCCCTTTCTATATATTTGTCTATTTCTGAATATTTTATCTAAGTTGAATCATACAATAAAAATGGACTTTTAAGGAGCAACAAAGGCAACATTTATTAAGCACCTAGGTATCTGTTAAGCACTTTATGTATATTTTCTTATTTTATCATCAAAATAATCATTTAAATTAGGCAACATTATTTCCATTTTAGATAAGCAAACTGATGGCAAAAAGACTGAGCAATTTGCCCACTCATACTATTAGGATGTGCCTGGATGCTTTGACCAGATCTTTGACCATGTTCTTTCTGCCTTAAGGTAGTTAGGAAATTCGAAAAATATCCCTCCCATGCTCTTCCCTCAGTGGTCTTTAGTGCCTTAAACAGAGACCAAAAGTAAATATGACATTTCTGAGGCAGTGAGGGCTGAAAGAGCAGAGACAGGTGGAGTGGTTTGTGTAGCATAGACTCACGAAACCACAGAAATTTGCTTTCCCAGCTTCTCTCCATTAGGTATTGAGAATAACCGGTGATCTGTGTACAGTATGACTCACAGAGCCATGGGAAATTAGAGCTCATGGTTGGAAAGAGCCTCAGAGACCACCTAGTCTAGCTGCTCTATTTTATTGATGAAGAAACTAGGACCCAATTTGCTCAAGATCATATACCTCTAACACAGTGACAGAGAATGACCTTTTATCTGATATTGGAAGAATAAATATACCAAAGGTGAGAGTTCTCTCCAGAATAACTTCAGAAAACAAGTTAAGAAAGAAACGAGATAGTGCTACGTCACTGAATTAGGTCAGGAGATTTGGGTTCCAACACCAGCTCTGTCACTAATTCACTGTGAGATCTTCAACAAGTCCCTTGACCTCTCTGGAATAGATGCTATTTTGGAAGCCTGACACTTATTAACCACTCAAGAAATTTTATCGAATAGGTAAATAAGTGAACCATTACTTAAATTTTAAATGTTAGCCTATTTTTGGAAGATTCACAATGAACTACACAACTAAAGAACTGATAAAGGGGTAATCAATATTTTTTAAGAACCAGTACTGAAAATGTAAATGTTTCCAGGGACAAATACATGAATGCACTTTTTTAAAACATGAAGGGTCCCTTCCTCAACAAATAGGAGTGCTTGATTATTTCCAACAGGTAAACATCCAAGATACATTAGCCAAAATCATAACAAAACTGTTCTGGATGCTATCACGACACTAGTGAATGCAGTGGCACGTGTGAATGTGAGTATCAAATCATTTCCTTCATAAATTCATAAATTCATAATTTTGTTCTTTATTTCCTTTGGGAAGAACAAGAATTCTATCTTATTTTGAATAAAAAAGATTTCATCATGTTTGAGGGGCGAATAGAGTCACTTAGTCATTCAAATATATTTGTTAAATACCTACAGAGCATGGGAACATCAAGAAATAGATTTATCCTAAAATGGGAAATTTTTAAAATGATACAAGAACATGAAACTGACATTAAAAACTATTTTTTATGAGACAATAAGTGAACAGTTTAGAGCTGTTTGTTTCAAGCCTCCCAGGTTGAAACTTTCACAGAAGAGAGGCAGAGCAGATGATGTGTGTGTAGGGGGTGAGTGGGAAGGCAAAGAGCACAGCTCTGTAAGCAGGAACTGGAGGAGGCAACAGAAAATGATCATCTTGCCATCTTTCTCCTCCCTCTCCCACCTTCCATGATGGAATAATAATAGGGATCCATTCCATGTGTATTGTATCACCCTTCCGAGTTTACTGAGTACTTTCACATTCATTATCTTATCATGCCAACCCTAAAAGAGAACCATAGTAGGTATTGTTTTTTACTATTTTCTAGATGAGAAAATATGGGACTCAAAGAGGTTAAGTGGCGTTTCTATAGCCGAATGACAATACAAATTTGTACCAGGACTAGAACTCAAGTCTTTGTCTCTGAAAACAGTTCTCTGTCTATCATCTCCATTCAGCCCTGAATTTTCTCCCCGAGTAGCTCCATTTAATGTTTACGTTGCTGAATGTTCCCCTGGGTGGGGTGTTGTTTTCAGTAGCAGCAGCAGCAGCTGCAGCGGCAGCAGAAGTTAACTCTTACAGTTTGGGTAGAGCAAAAACAAGTGAATTACCATCACAAGTGAAAGACCCTTCTTTTCATCTGTTCTGACCAAACTTCGTGTGTGCATGTGCGCTTCTGTGTGTGTGTTTGTGCTTGTGTGTGTGTGTCTGTGCGTGTTTGTGTGTGTGTGTGTGTGTGTGTGTGTAATAGGGAGTGGAGCATGGAAATTATACTTCAGCATACTTCAGCAAGTCTGTCAAAGGTTTACTTGTGTTCATATAAAGTAATAATAATGTAGACACATAATTCCTCTGTTTCTATTTGGTAAAATAGGGAGGAAAAAAAGTAGTAAATGGGAGTGGTCATGAAAAAATGGAGAAAGTAGAAATCAGTGAGCATCTAATATGTACCAAGTGCTTTATCTATAACACTTCATTCAATCTGTACAATTGCCCAGTGACATGGGTTCTACTAGTGCCCCTACCTTACAGATTAGTAAATCAAAGTTTAAATAAGTTAAGTCCTAGGTTACAGAGCTGGTGATCTCCTGATCCAAGATTCAAAGAGATTCCGATAGCTCCAGAATTGGTTATTTTAACTACTGCCAAGTAAAGAACTTGTGTCTTAGGGTGAATGGAAATAGCAAAGACTTTCTTTTTTTTCTTTTTTAAAATTATTTTATAAGAGAGTACATATAGACGGTTTATATATTTTCGAACAGAGTAAAAAAGGACATTGTATATTTTTCATAATTCAAATTCTATTTGAACTCGGTTATAAAAAATATGCATTCCCTGTTTGTACCCTACTGTACAAAATATAAAAACTCTCAATATACTCTGTAATGGAAAATATACAAAAAAAAGAAAAATTATTTTAGATTCGGGGGGTACATATACAGATTGGGCTTCAGTTGAATTCATCACCTAGTTAGTGAACCTAGTATGCAATAGGTAGTTTTTCAACCTTTGCTCCAATCCTTTCCTTTTCACATTTAGAGTCCCCAGTGTCTATTGTTTCCAAGACTTTCCTTTTAATCGATGGTCAGAGACTCAAAGGTCCCCTTATCTACCTTTAGCCAAATACAGCAATCCCTTCTAGACATCACTTACCAACGTCCATCCAGTGAGCCACAGGGGCTCTAGGTTAGTTTAGATTTTATAAATGGTGGTGGACTCATCCATTCTCTTGTCTGACACTTCGCTCAGGGCATTTACATGAGGCAGCAAGGCAGGATCAGAGACAATCTATCACTATGGGAGAGAAGAACAGAGAGCATGTACTTAGCCCCAGTGGCACCTGACTCCAACCATTGTGCATTCTGGTCCTTTGCTCAGACATGTCTGCTCATTATGTCCTTGTGGAATTCACAGTCAGTTTTGCAGCTGCATTATTTTTGCCCCAAACATGGTTAGAGGAATCAGCAGGTGATGACCGGCTAGGAACTACATGATTTCTGAGAGGTTTGGTCATTCTTTGGTTTCTCTTTCACAGGATACAAGTGATGCCTTCAAACTTGAGTTCAGTTTCTTAACGGTCATTTAGGAGCATGCTGGTTTTTGCAGTAATCTATCAGTGAAATGATTTTCAAGGTATTGGAAAACGCTCTACTGATCAAGAAGAATGGTGAGTATTGGTGACTTCTGCTGTTTCAGAAATAATGTCACAAATATTGAAGGGGGAACTGTCTGTGAGGATAGAATAAGTTAATATTTTTGACCTATTGTTACCTCATTTTCAATAATTTCTTGGACATGATTTGGAAAAGGGAGAGTGAGATGTAATTATATAGCATGAATTTTGTTCTAAGAGTTTGTAGTCCTGTTTCAGTAAAGAACACCTCTTGACCACACCCATTTTCTTTCTCCCTCACTTATTCATTCCATCAATAAATATTATCAAGCACCTTTTGCAGACTAGGCTTTTACTTTCTTCCTTGTGTCCCCTTTATTTTCTGATTTTTTTTTACCTCCTTTCCCCACCATCCCCCTTGCTTTCAGCATTTACATCTTCAATGTTATGCCTGGAAAATGGTGGTAATATCTGAGAAGTTACTTAAAGTAAGAATGTAGAGGAGAGGCAGGGTTGAAGAGTTTTGTGGATTTATGTGTTTTGTGTGGTATTATTTTATCCATATCATCCAGTTTTCTCTTATTTTCTTGCTTATAGCATGTCTAAAGAACTTTTAACCACTCAAGAATAATGCTCAGCTTGTGCCATTGCAAAATTCACCCATGATGACTGACTTCATCCTTCTCGGGATGACAGATAACTCTCAGTGTGAAGTCCTGCTATTTGGAGTCTTTCTTACTGTTTACATCATCACTGTTTTGGAGAATCTCGGCCTGGCGATTCTGATCAGAGTCAGCCCCCACCTCTACACCCCATGTACTTTTTCCTTTCTAATCAGTCCTTCCTTGTCTGTTTCTCTTCCATCACAATCCCAAAGACTTTAGCAAATTTGTTTTCTAAGCTGCAGTGTTTCTTTCCTTTTCCTGTAAACCCAAATGAGCTTGTTCATAATCTTTGCCTCTGATGAATGCAATTTTTTAGCTTCCATGGCCTATGACTGCTATACTGTCATCTGTTCTACTGCATTACTATGTCAAGAGGCCACTGTCTTTTCTTGGTAGTAGAATGCTACCTTAGTGAGTTAGTTAAGATGGTCACTGTGACAGCTTCCATTGCACAACTATTGTTCTGTCAACCAGGTGTCCTTCCTGCCTTCTTCTGTGACATTCCCTAATTGTTGGCACTAGTTTGCTCAGGTTCCTGGATCACCCAGTTCTTGGTGGTTGGCTGTGGGGGATTCACCCTGGTCATCTCCATTCTGGTGATCCTTGTCTTCTACGTGTCTATTCTCATGACTATCCTGGGAATTCTCTCAGTTTCTGGAAAACAGAAAACCCTCTCTACCTGTACCTCCCACTTGACTGCTGTTAGCCTATACTATGGAACAACTATGTACACTTACTTCCTGCCCCCTCGACATAGATCCAGGGCAGGAAATCAAATGGTCTCAGTGTTTTATACAATGGTGATCCCATGTTAAATCCTCTCATCTATGGTTCAAGAAATGAGGAAGTGAAAGTTGCTCTATGGAAAACACTAAGACACAGTCGTTAATCTTCCATTGTGTGTCTCAAAAATGCAAAATATTCTGTGGCTACTTGCTCATGCTTTTATTCACAGTGCTGTTCTTGCCTGCAAATGAAGTCTTGTTAAGAACAATGGAATTACTCTAGCTAATTGTTTAAAAGTAGTTGTCTAGATAAACAGCAACACAGTAGGCAGGAATTATATGAACAAAATAATATGTATTTTCTGGAACAATTGCAGACAATTGTAAGAAATATTTAGGAGGGAAATGTGTATGTGGGTATAAATATGTCAGTTTGAATGGTAAACCTGTGTGATAACCCTAGTCATGAGTTAAAATAATTTCAGGATGACAAGGTTAGGACTTATATAATATAATTTGACATAAGTTATAGACGAGAACATGGATGGCAGCTGGGATGCAAATAACTTTGCTGCACCATGTATGTCCTTATATTGAGGATTTACTTAGTGCTCCAAAGACTGAATTAAGATCAGTGCATATCTGTCATAAAGATTCAGGACACTTCTGAATGTTTCTATTCCAAATGCTCTACCAGCACTGCACTGTGAGGCTGTAAAATGTAAGCATATACATGACTTCTCATGTGCAATTATTGAGATTTATAGGGGTAAATCTTAAATAGGGTGATAGCTAAATAATAGATTGGGCTCACTAATTAGAGTTTGGAAATCCTTTGTCAAGAACAATGAATCATTGGTTAGTAGGAACTCCAGGCCTGAATTGCAGCTATGATTTTTCTATATGCAAATTCTGAGTGGACCAGGGCCAGGTCCATTGCTATTCTTGAATACACTTCTAACAGACAATGCAAGTGTAAATCAAACCCCAATTAATTCATTAGTCCATGGCTAGCTCATCCTCAGAATTTGTAATATTGCATGAAATTCCTGGATATTGCTATTTTGTGTAAATATATTGAACATTAAGATATTCTTGAAACCATACAATCCCAGTTATGAATAATACAAAACCTTAAGCTCTTTTGTAAATGAGAAAACTAATGACTAAAGAAGAGAAGGTGGGCCGGGCGCGGTGGCTCAAGCCTGTAATCCCAGCACTTTGGGAGGCTTAGGCGGGTGGATCACAAGGTCAAGAGATCGAGACCATCCTGGTCAACAAGGTGAAACCCCGTCTCTACTAAAAAAAAAATACAAAAAATTAGCTGGGCATAGTGGCGTGTGCCTGTAATCCCAGCTACTCGGGAGGCTGAGGGAGGAGAATTGCCTGAACCCAGGAGGCGGAGGTTGCGGTGAGCCGAGATTGCGCCATTGCACTCCAGCCTGGACAACAAGAGCAAAACTCCATCTCAAAAAAAAAAAAAAAAAAAAAAAGAAGAGAAGGTGACCAAAACCAAACAACCAGTTGGAGAGAAAGAATCAAATTGGTCAAGCTGCAAGGAAAATCAGAAAGTCGCATTTATCTATGTCTAGGTTAGTGCCTAAATCTATAACTAGGGATCTTTGAGTTCTAAGAATAGTTTGTCCACCACACGTGGTGGCTCATGCCTGTAATACCAGCACTTTGGGAGGCAGAGGTGGGCAGATAATGAGGTCAAGAGGTCAAGACCATCCTGGCCAACATGGTGAAACCTCGTCTCTACTAAACATACAAAAATAAGGCGGGTGTGGCCCCTGTAACCCCAGCTACTTGGGAGGCTGAGGCAGGAGAATCACTTGAACCTGGGAGGTGGAGGTTGCAGTGAGCCGAGACCGTGCCATTGCACTCTAACCTGGGCAACAAGAACAAAACTCTGTCTCAAAAAAAAAAAAAAAATAGTTTTTCTTCTGCCTCTACTCCCAGAAGCTCTGTAGCCTTAGTAGCCATCTCCCAAGAAACCTTAAACCCTAGTTTTGAGGGAGGTGGTGAGGTTTACTTGGTAGCCATGTGAAACCCAGTTCTCTTAGAGTGTCATATCCTTATATGCAACTACCAATCGGAACCTGCAATTGGTTGTTTCTCAGGCACTTCATATTTAGTCTCTCAAAAATTTAACCTTCTAGACCTGGTGCTCTTCTTCCCTTGCCCCTACCTAAGCGAGTAGCAACATCCAGGTTTTTAAGCCCCAAACCCGAGTCAATCCTTTGCACTTCCTCTCCGTCCACTTGCTACAGCCAGTCATTCACCAAATCCTGTCAATTCTCCCTCGAAAATACCTCCACTGTCACTGGCACATTCTTTTCTTGCCGGGATTAGCTAAATGGTCCTTTATCACTTCTTCCTGAATCCACCCTGGATTTTGTGAAATCTACTTTCACACAACAACCACAGAGGTTTAAATGTAAATCCGACCACATCAGCCTTCTTCTACCCTCCAAACTGCTTAAAATTTCCACCTCTCTCTTTGCCTATAAGATAAATTCCAAACTTGTAAATATGACATGTAAATCTCTCCATGCCCTGTTTGTCTCCGTTCTATTCATTTTTTAAATCCAAACTTAAATCCTATCTTTTTTCTAGGTAGCTTTTCCTGACATTTCAGAAGAAAAGTGAGTGTGCATATTCTGTTTTCTCATTGCACTTTGCATGCCTTTTATAGCATTATAACACTTGCCCTTCTAATGAAACTCTGTGCAATTTTCTGATAATCTGTTCTGTCCACCTAGATTGAAACCCTTTAAATGGATAGAGCCATGTTTGTTTGTTTTTGTCTCCTACCTAGTCCCATACAAGTCCTGATTATCTGGTAAAGGTTTAAAAAACATTAGCAGAGTTGAAATTCACTCACAGCTAACTTTCTCCATTTTCTCCACCGGGCATGGTTATACTTTGTTGTGTAATGGAGGAAAGGTAGAAAATCTTACCTCCTGGGACACCAGCTTCTAGCTGGTCCTCCTGGTTTGGCAGATGTTTCCTGTTGACACTGTCACTCCTGAGTAAGGAATCTGAACTTCTTTTTGTTCATTGTTTTTACCTTCCAGCTCAGTACTACCCAGGTCAATCCCTTGTTCTCCCTGGATTTCTGCTCTTCTGTGGTCACTGGCTCAGAGACGTGCCAGACTTTTTTTGTGGGGGGGGGGGTTGGGTGATGGAGTCTCACTCTGTTGCCTAGGCAGGAGTACAGTGGCACAATCTTGGCTCACTGCAACCTCCACCTCCCAGGTTCAAGCAATTCTTTTGCCTCAGCCTCCTGAGTAGATGGGATTACAGGCGTGTGCCAACACGCCCAACCCAGCTAATTTTTTGTATTTTTAGTAGAGACAGGGTTTCACTATGTTGGCCAGGCTGGTCTCAAACTCCTGACCTCGTGATCACCCGCCTCGGCCTCCCAAAGTGCTGGGATTACAGGCATGAGCCACCGTGCCCAGCCAGACATGGAATAAAAATTCATTTTTCCTGGAATAAAAATGCATTTTTTTTGCCTTTGTGAGTTTCATGGTTAGAAATTTTCAGAATCAGAAGTCAGAGGTGAAAGGGCCCATAGAGAGAATTTAGAATGATGGATTTTAATTTTTTAAGCATTGGAATGATTTTTTCAAAACAATTTTAAATACAGAACAAAAATTTAAACATGAAAGTGGAAGAGGTTTGGTTGAAGAAAGGATGGGGCACCCATAGCCTAGTTCTCACTTCTCCATCCCTGAGGCACCCCTACAGAAACTCAAGGACAATTTGAAAACACTAGAGGAATCAAATCTGCTTTTTTTCACAAATGAGGAAACAGCATCCCCAAAGAAAGGCATCATTCTGGAGATCACTCAGCTAGTCAGTGGCAGAGGCAGAATTAGCATTCAGGTTTCCTGATTCCTGACCTCAGAATACTGTCTACTATAGCACTTTCGTGTTGTGTGATGTTTAACACAGCTGGGAGGTAAACAAAATGGGCCTTATCTGACTGAACTACAGACACTGACTTAGTGTCTATCTTTGGCTGGTAAAAGTGTCCGCCACTCTCCAAACAGCCCTAGAAATACCAGAGACAGCTACAACCTTATCAGCCTTCCTCATTTCTATATGGGAGGTGGTAGATTTTAGAGGATACCAAAATTCTTTAACAATAGAGAGTCCTTATAGTCAGGACTAGCTACATAGTTTGCAGGACCAGTGCAAAATGTAAACGTGAAGCTCCATGTTCAAAAAACAGGAAAAAGTGCTATTACAGGTTCTCCAATAGAAAGCTTTTTTTCTTTCTTCTGCAGTCTCTCTCTCAACCTGTCATGCTGTTTTTAATTCGTTATTTAAACACCTGCACAGGCACAGGGCTATTTGTGGAGCAAGTGCAGAACTTCCTAAGTGGTCAGTGACTTTGCCCAGGGACTAGCTGCCCATGTGCATGACTCACTCACTACTGGGTTCTTCCTTACATCAGCTTCTGCACAGATAGATGCATCATGCTCTGTTCAGCTTGGAGGAAGTGAAACCAGACATTCCCATTCCCATGGGCAGGCTGCCCCAACCCATGTGGTCAGGCAACCATCAAGAGTATTACAACTTCTGCAAAGTGTGTACTAGGTGTCTGGATTGGAGTGGGCAATAGGCCCTGCTGAGTAACCTGCCAAATGCACCATGGCACTGCTCACTTGGGGCCGGATTGCTGTTACCATGTCCAACTGTAAGATTTTTCAGGGTATATATGTATGCTCCCAATTCTCCTTGTGCCCTGGCTCAGTTCTCTTGTGTGGAGGGTTGTAGCTATTACTGGGCAGGATAGAGAAGGGGAGGCTGGATGGGGTCCTGGATACTAAGGGAGAAGCGAATGACAGCTAAAACCTACCCCTGGGAAGTGGAGAGGTGGTAAAAAGTGGGACTATATGTTCTCAGAGATTCCAGACTCCCAGTGCATACTCTATTGTCCCATTGGATTTTGCATTTCACTTACAATAATATTCAAATTATTAAAAATTTCAAGGCAGTGACATTAAACCCTAAGTGCAGAGCACTCCTGAGCTCAAGGTCCTGTACAATTGCCCTCATCACATGCTCGTAAAGCCAGCCCTGCTCACAGAGAGGGGTTTCTTTTATCTTTATCAGGTGGTAGAGTGTAGTGGTTAGGAGCGCAAGCTCTACAATCAGACTGCCAGACTTTGGAATCCATTTCCCTTACTTCCCAACTCTGTGATGTTAGACAAGTTACTTAACCTTTTTCTCTCAGTTTTCTCATTTGTAAAATAGGAATAATAAGATTACTCACCTCTTAAATTTGCTGTGAGGTTTAAATATGATGATGTATTTACATTGGTTAGAACAGTGCCCAGACATGGCACACATTCAGTAACTGTTTCGTGTTATCATTTATAGCTTGCCGGATTCAACATTTTTTAGATTTCCAATATAGGTATCAGGTTTTATTTGCTCTGGATAAGCTGCAGACCTGTATTCCAAATGTTATTTACCTAGCTCCTAGAGCATATAACCAGACTTGGTCTCCAGTGGCCTCTCAGGCTTAAGGGGAACTCCACTAGATCTGCACAAACAAAGTGAACCCAGTGAGGTTTCTCTGGTAGAGTGTTTTCCTTCATAGGCTCAGCCCCCATCCAAGTCAGTCTTTGGCCTCACTGTGCCAGGTCTCGAGACCACCAAATTCAGCCTCAGGGACAACACATCCACTACTGCTGCTTGTCCAACACCAACAAGTTCTTAGGAAAGAAATATCCTATTGTCTCATAAATTGTGGTCCCTGGTCATTTGGTTACCGGAAACAGTTATGTAAGTGAATCTCTGGGGTCTCGACCTCAGTCCTGCTGCAACAGTGACAGCCCTTAAAGGCATGGACATTCTAGGGGACTTGGAGACAGAACAAGATTTTTAACCAGTGAGCCTAATCCAGGCCTTTAGGGGGTAACAAGACCTCTTGAAGTGAGAGGATGAGGTGGAGGGCAAGGACTTTATGAGATATGTCAGCAAATCTGTCTTTTTGGGTGTCACAAGAAGATAAATACTGACTTCTCTCTGCATCTGCTGGTGACAGTAGCAGGAGAAGCTGAGCCTTGCATTCCAGGGAGCTCTCAGCACATCTGCATGCCCTCCTCTGCCCCCAGCACACACTCAGGGTGGGCTCGGTCAGCTCTCCTGGTGGAGGAGGGGCTGCTCCAGCTATTCTGGGCTGGGTATCCCTCCCTGGCATTGTTCTGGGTAGTGGTGCTCAGAGCAGCATCTAGTCCTGGGCTTTCTGATGGAAGGACCCTGCCAAGACAGCCCCCAGGCTGGATCTGGGAACCTGAGCAAATGAGCAGGTATTGGGGAAAGGATAGATTGGGGGGCCTAGTGGCAAGATGCTATAGCCTCAAAGGCAGGACAGCAGAGTCAACTGGCTGTGCGGTTCCCAGCTTCAGTCCAAGGCAAGGACATCCCAGAGAGTCCTTTGGCCCAGAGCTGACACTTCGCCTGTCAGCCCGCTGGGCTTCTTGGAGGAATCCAGTCAGCGGCATTGGATTCAGGGAGGAATGTTCCAGATCGGCCTCCTGGGTAGTGAATGGCCTGCTTGCCAAACCCCCATGGGTCAGGAAAACTGGCTGGTGTAAACTTGGCATTCATTGCCAGGGCCCCAAAGCTTGGAACTGGCTGAGGCCTATCTCACACTGCACGAGTGACAATCTAAGAGTAGAGTTCTGGGACCCAGGACATTAGGAAGGGGCAGTAGGGAGAGATACTAGGCTTCTGAGGAGTAAGCAGCCATCTTGCGCAATTCTTCAAACATGACTAGGATGAGATTTAGTAGAACACAGAAATAACCAAGTCCAACAACAAACATTTTCTGTGTGCACATCATGTGCCCTGACTTATTCTTGGCTGTGTACCAGTACAGGAAAGAGAGTGGGGAGGGCGTGGGAGATGCCAAAGGAAATAGGAGACATGGCCCTTTCTCTTGGGGAACATTAAATATGGGACTCAGAAGAGAAAATGTTGCAGCGCTTGAAGAAAATGTCAAATAGAAATTGGTTTTACTTGCAAAGTAATATGTAAAATGATTCTTTCAAATTCAGTAAGTTTCCACTTCCATTTTAATTTTGGCGATATGTTCCTACTTTAAAAAGTAACCTCAATTCATAACAATGAAGGTGTTAATTTCTCTTCAGTAAGACTTGTCACCTTTTCCAGACATGCTGGTTGACCTTGATAACTAATTGAATTATCTAAAATTACTTTTACCTAAGTATAAAAGAATTATGCACTCATTATTGAAAAACTGGAAAATATGGAGAAGTAAGGGGAACATATAAATTGATCAATCTCAGTACCTACAGACAACCACTGTTAGTACTTTGGTGTTCTTTTAGTCTTCCTTTTAAAATATATTCATAGGTGTGTGTGTGTGTGTGTGTGTGTGTGTGTGTGTGTGTGTGTAAATGTGTTTGTAATAGAATAATAATATAATACTGTTTTTTACCCTGCCCTTTTTACTTAAAATATATTGGGAAAAATATACACATCAATAAGCATTCTTTCCTTTGAGTTTAATGATTGCATACAACAACAATGTATGGATAAACCCTGTTGACTAATAGTTAACAAAGAACTTTGAAAAGACTGATAGGAAGAACGTATAGCTGACAACGGCTTCTATCAATGTGCTCAAAGCAGGAGTGAAATACACTATATGGAATTTGACTGCATTTTATTAAATACAAAAACAGAAGCATAGGCTGAAGGATGTTACTGGAAAGAATTCCCTTCTATGATCAAATTTCATGTAAACCCAAAGCCTTTAAATGAAACTTTAGGTTGAACACGTGGAAAAGATAAATGACCGGAATCCTGGAAGATTTTACCAGACATTTGTCCTCAGATTATGCAGTGGAACATGCAGATTACCTTGGCATAGGTGCTGAAACCAGCCTATCTCACCCCAGTAAATGTCCAACCCTGAGTCTATGGCACAGGCTGACAGCAGTCAGGTGGGAGGTGACGGGTAGAAGGACATGTGCACGATCTAGAGCAGAGGGCCAACTATGTTAAGAATAATGGGTCCTTATGGATATGGTACAGTGGGAACTGAAGGCTTCCAAGTCACGGAGAAGCAGGGAAGCAGACCAACTTGACCAAAGGAGGAACATGACACAGAAAGTGATCAGTAGTGGGAGTTGCAGAATAGATCAAT